GTTTTTACTGTTGAATCATAAATTGCCATGAAACATTATCAAATGCCTTTGGGGCGTCTAAACATACTAGTGCCAGTTGTTTCCCTGGATGAATTTCACAATATTCCAATATATCTAGTATTACCCTCAAATTATTTTTTATTTGTCTCTTTGGCAAAAATCCATTTTGATCTGAGTGCATAAATTCAGTCAAAAGTCTTTTTAGCCTCTCAGCTATTATTGAAGTGAAGATTTTATAGTCCATATTCAGTAGTGATGTCGATCTATAGTTTGTTTGTTTTTTGTATAGATTTTATTAGTTTTTATAGGGTTAGGAATAAGGTGGGGTTGGGGTTGGGGTTGGCATTTGGGTTAGGGTTAGGATTAGGTTAGGGTTAGGGTTGGGGTTTTTCCAGATAACATTCTCAATATTTAGCAAACAGCATAATATCTGTGTGTGTGTTTAACAAATGATAATAGATAATAATTGTTAATTATCATAAACAATCTCTCAATAGCTTTCTTCTTGCTAATATATATTCAAAATTACATATCACATTCCTTTCTCTCTAATTCTTTTTTCTAGCCATTGATGGAAATTATCCCATGTTCTAAAGTACACTGAGTCTTCTTTCTCTTTTCTCTTTAAAATCAATTTATCCATTTCTGCACACTCTAGAATTTTCTTAATTAGTACTTCTTTAGCTGGTCTATTTATTTTTTAGTCATTTTCTCCAACCATAAATGTATTTTAACTCAAAATCTTTTTGCTTTAGGGCAGGTCCACCAAATATGATAATAAGTACCTGGTCTTTGTTTGCATTTCCAACGGTTGTTTGAAGTAATTTTAAACATTTTTGCTAATTTCACTGGTGTCATATGCCATCTGTAAAACATTTTATATAAGTTTTCTTTATATGCTACTGCTTTAGTTAATTTAATATTTCTTTCCCATAACTTTTGCCATAAACCAGATATTTTCCCAATGCTATCCCATTTCTAGTCATACTGGTTCAGTTAGGTGCGTTGCAGGTGACTCTCCAATTAATGACCTATTGACCTCAAATTTCATGGCCAGGGACAATCATTTGGCTTGGATTCCCAGTTTAAACACTGTCTGGAGGTTGATTAGGCATCAGGTGTAGATTAGACATCTATTAGGATGTCTAATTCTGTTTGGACCCTTGTTTTAGTGGGGATGGCGAAGAGAGGGATGGCTTGACTTACCATCGGATCATTCTCACCTTTGTTGTCACTGTCATAGGGGGCTGGTAGCTAAATGCATTCAATCAGAGTTCCCTCTCTCACCCGTGGGGAGGACAAGACCTCAACGGCTTGGCTCTGATGTACCCAGCTTGACTTCTCTTAACCTCTCCGCTGTGGCTTTTTCAGCTTAGTCATAGTGGTAGGGGCACTCTTCACTTGGGGAGCTGGAGCTAGGCTTTTAGCCGCTCGATGTCCTTGCTGGCAGCACTGGAAGCACTTGATAGGGGCCCCAGCAGGAGTTCTGGGGGCACCAGCTACTGAAGCCACTGCATGATGTCATCCGAACTGGTGCCGTTTCTGGAATCGCCTTGGCTTTGATTCAGGTGCACCGGCCTTCTTATAGTGTTGAAGTTCAATGTCCAGTGTCACTGCCATCCGGTATCACTCACAGATCTGTTAGAAATCCCCCTATAGATGCATACCTGAAACAGGTCACAGTCCAAGCCTTCCTTAAACCAGTGGAATAGCAATTGCTCTGGCCACTGCCTTATTCTGTCTGTGACCCTTTGGAACTCTCGAAGAACTCTTGCTGGTCAGCCTCTCTGCTTTAGGGTGCGTATTTCCATTTCAGCTTGCAGGGCCTGGAATTTGTCTTCAAACCTGGCTCTCAGCTCTCCCAGGAAAAGGTTCATGTTTCCAAATTTTGAAGGCTGGTCATCCACTCTGCAGCTTCTTCCTCTAGGTTGACTGCCACTGCGTTCACCGTCACACTCTCATCAGGGGAGATGGGTCTAGATGAGCCCACACCTAGTTCAGGAAGAATGACAGCTTATCCAGGTCCCCATCAAATGTGGCTCTGGTCGGACGTGGGTCTGCAGGAAGTAGAGATGCCCAGTACACCAGGTACCAACCAGGTCGTTAGTACTGGGGCCCTGATTAAAGTAGAGCCCATCTTCGAAACCCTTCCAGTTGCCCCACTGGGCAGGCAGCTTGCTGTTGGCGCGGGAGACTTTGCCTGGGTCCTGGGCTCCATGCTGCTGTAGTTCTGGGAAGTAGAGAAGCCACATGGGACATAATGACTGGACTCGGACTTCGAAAGGCGGGAAGTGGTTGCGTTGACCTGGCTTCGGCTCTAGCTGAGACCTCATATTGTGCAATTGGGGTCACTTCTCTAATGTCCAACCAGTCAAATTTCTCCTTCAGCTTCTTGACCGAGTGCTCATGGACTGCTGTCAAGTGCTTACATTTCCCCAACTCATTCCATCCTGCTACTCTCTTTACCTTCCACCTCGGAGTGAGAGATAGAGGGCCATGGGAAGAGATTAAAGGAAACTCAGCCTCACCAGCCTTGGGTACTTTTGCACTGGAAGTCTTTCTCTGCTGGTAAAGATCCCTGATGGCTAGAGCTAGAACTTCCTCCCGCACCGTTGACCTGTCAGATTTATCCGAACGGACTTTCAGTCGAGCCCCCATCAGTGGAACTCCAGCCCCAGCCTGGGCAGCCATCCGTGTTCCATCTTTAGGAATTGTACCGGTATTAGTAGTTGCTTCCCCTTTCTTATCCATCCTAGCATCTTCCCTGAGTCTTTACCGTCCTCCCAAAACAATTGGGTAGGTGGCCAGGACTCAGGACCCTTAGGATCACTTTTTGATAGTCTTAGAGCAGTAAAAGGGTTTTGGAGGGTTCGTTTAATATCATGGTTCCGACTAATGAAACCAAATAAATCAGAACTCTGAGGCTTGAAGTTTCCTTAAAGAACATGTTTATTGGATACATAATATCGGCACGGTCAAAAGTGAAACCAACTCTAATAATCCCCTAGGGATGCACTGTAACTAAATGTAACAATTCCCTCCCCTGTACTATGCTATTGATCACGCAACCCAATAAAAGCAATTGGCAGGTTCCATGAAACTTCTCTCCACCTTCCAGTTCCTGTGGGAATGACCTTGGTTTCCACTGGACTGCTCTGTGTTTAGTCTAGCAGTGCTGTTGGTTTCTCCCCCCCTTCCTCCCAACTTGTGGCAACTTAGAATGACAAAGATGGCTTCAGCCATGTTCGTTTCAGAACTTGACACTTTAGTTTATGGTTTTCCCTCACTTGTTTTATATATCTGATTAAATGTTGACAAGCCATTTGTAAGTGTGGGTGTGACATCGTATGTTAAAAAATGTTCATCTTGTCCAAAGTTGAATATGGTTGATCGGAGATGTAATGCAAATTTCTGCTTATCTGAGACTGCATGGCAACAGTGAAAAAGGGCTCTTTCACAGATGCTGAAGAATCTTGAGAAAAAAACTGTTTTAACTATTTTTTTGCAGTGGGGAACTCTAGCTAGAGCAGTGCTTCTCAATTATTTTCTGTCATGCCCCCCTAGGAAGAAGAAAACATTTCGCGCCCCCCGCACGACTGTAAAAATTTTTTTTCTGTACAGAGCACCAAACACGGGCGGGTTTGGCCAATCAGGATAGAGCATCATGTCTATCCAATCGGGTCCTTTGCATGTGTCACGTGCGTTGGCGGTCATGTTGTCCTCCGCGTCGGGCTGCCGTTTGCGAGTGAGTCGGATGATCTGATCTAGAAATCCAATATGACAATATTTGCCGAGGTCAAACGAGCCCCTCTTTACGGAGCCGGGGGGCGCGCCCCACTATTTGAGAAGCACTGAGCTAGAGCAACTTGCAGAGTGCACACTTTGATTTTCATTTAAAATAAGTCTTCAGTGGCTTCACAAAGTTATATAAAAATATTCTGTCAGTTAAATAACATCTTTTTTTGAGTGACAGCTGAATCTAATTAATTAAATCTCATTTTATCAAGACAGCTTGACAGTGTACGTTACATGAAACAAGTATTAATGCTAAAGAATATTTTACAGATAAACTAAAATGACTGTAGATGAAGACAAGCTTTGTTCCATCTCTGGATGTACTCTTGAACTATGTAATTATATAGAGATTTTTCACATAAATATTTTTGTTAAAAGATTTATTTATTACAACATTTGCATCCCATCTGAACTCAAGACTTCTTGACAACTCATATATAAGAAACACTATAAATTATCAGGTATAAATTAAAGCCTTTTAAAAAAAAACCCAGGCTAACAATGACACTCATTAAAAATGATATTGAACATAGAACATAGAAGGTTGGAAGGGACCTTGGAGGTTTTCTAGTCCAACCCCCTGCTCTAGCAGTTGACCCTATACCATTTCGGATAAATGGTTGTCCGGTCTCTTTTTGACAGCCTCCAGTGATGGAGCACCCACAACTTCTGAAAGCAAGCTATTCCATTGGTTGATTGCTCTCATCTTTAGGAAATTTCTCCTTAGTTCTAGGTTGCTTTTCCTCTTGGTTAGTGTCCATCTATTTCTTCTTGTCTTGCCTTTTGGTGCATTGGAAAATAGTTTGACCCTCTCGTCTTTGTAGGAGCAACATTCTTTGACCATCTTGTTTGACCCGCTTGTCTTTGAAATTAGCAGCATTCCAAACTCAATTACGGTTGTAAATGGAAGACTACCTGTACTTATGAATGTGTTTGTATTCTTGTACTTTATAGTAGATGTTCTTTGGACAAGCTGTAAAGCTTGCATATATTAATGACATAATACAAAAGTGTATTATTTTACTATTTTGTACATTGAAACTAGAGAGACCTATTTCAGCTGGATTCTTCTTTACTTAGTACCCCTGCTTAGTACCCCTACAATGTAATGCTTTATTACATTGTAGTAAAAATGAATTTAAAGTACTCGTTTTGTGAATTGTTTTGTTTCAGAATGTCCCTGTTGTCTCATCCTTTCATTGCAGCTCTTTACTCCATCATATTATTCTGTGTATTTTTATGGATCCCATTTGTCTATTTCTACTATGAAGAGAAAGATGAAGATGATGGCAATGCATGTTCGGTAAGATGCTTATACTGATGTCAATTGCTTGGTTGGATATACAGGGTGAAAAAAGGGGTTTGATTTCCTTGTTCCAATGGTAGTTGAAATATTAACATTTTTTATCAAGGTGTAAGGAAATCAAGTTTTCTTACATAGATTGCAGCTGGGTTAACCTGTGGGTCCTTCCCCCTCTGAATGTTCTCATGGGAGCGCAGAGACCTGCCTCATATAGATCTGTTTAGTTCATAGTTCAGTATAATCTGCTTTTTCTTTTGCTTTTACTTTGTACTTATCCTTTTAACTATAATGTCAGGATTATTTGACTCTGTCTCTATGCAAAGCATATGCTGTATCACTGAGGTACATTTTCTGCCTTGCATCCACAGCTGTAGACATCTTTAATCTGTTCAGAAAATTAAATGAAAATAAAATGCTTCTAAATATGACAATAAAAAACGGTAAAAATGTTGGAGTTTTGGCCAGGTTTGCAAATTCATTATAAACAGTGAAATGCATTATGTTTAAAAATGCTCATATATTTGTATATAACTAGCATTGGCATCAATACCTTTATTACTGTATGATACTTATAGCCTCTTAGAATAATTGCTCCTTTTTTCTGTTTGGCAAATGTGCCTATTAAGGCAGAATTGGAGACAAACTATGCAGTAAACTTTAATCTTAACTAATAAGGGAAGAAGTTTTAATTAAAGCTGAATATTCATTAAGTGGAGAATGAATTCAAGCTATAGTTGTACATGAACATCTACCCTACTAATTATAGTGAATAATATTTTCTAGACTGATTTACCAAATAACATGCTTTGCTTGGGACAAAGTCTGCTTTTGCCTAAAATTTGGAAAAATATAACATCCAACAGATTTTGTCTATTAAATTGAGGTCTGTTTAATTGAGGGTTTGCTGTAATACAGTACAGTAAACTACTTAACATTTGTCTACAATCACAATTATCAAAATCCCTTTTTTCCCTTTTGTATAAATAGAAGTTGTTGCCACTACATAGTGGTTTTTGTTCTTCTCTGGAAACTAGATTTGAAAGCATTTTATTATTGTGATTGTAAAACGAATGAGAATAATTCCTGGCATTAAATGTTACTTTTCAACCTGACAACCGTAAACAAAAAGGGAACCAGAATTTCCCTGCTGATATACTGGATTGAAACATTACTTTAAAATAAAAATTGTGCTGAGACTGAACAAGAGAATGGGGCTACAGACCTTGAGATAAAATAGCTTTTCTACGCAGACAAAAATATTGAGGCATCTACTGTGAAAACTTACATTTTTCCAATAGAAAGGTCAGGGCATTCCATACAGGACAGATCCTTCCCACATGCTCAAGTGATAGGGCTATAAACATTCTGATATTCTTCCTATTCAAAGAAATGAATGCCTTTCTAATTCTACCTCCAACCAGCGTGCACACTCCTTAGCTAGCTTTGAAAAGGCCAGGAGTCCATCCATCCAATCATTTATTAAATTTATATGCCGCCCATTTTGCCATCAGGTGACACTGGTGGCTTTCAACAAGATAAAAACCACAATTGAAATGATAAGTATTAACATTAAAATGAACATGGATAGCTAAGGAAGGAACCAATATACAATGGGGTAGAGCTGGAGTGATCATACAACCTCATCTTCCTGCCATATTCTAGGTCAGTGGTGGCGAACCTATGGCACGCGTGCCAAAGGCGGCACTCAGAGCCCTCTCTGTGGGTACGCATGCCATGCCCCAGAGATGGCAACCATCCCTCTTCAACCAACCACCCGCTAACTCGCTGAGGTCCCACATGGCCGGATGCACCCCAGCACAGCTGGTTTCTTTCCCCATCCCATCCCTTCTGGTCTCACATGCTCTCCTTTTCCCGGGCACAACACACTGCATTGCCTCCTCAGCTGTCAGCTGGCTGTCTTGCAGGTGGCGGGCTGCAAAGCCCCAGAGTGTGCCGGTCGAGGGGCTGGGAGGCTGTGGCTGCTGACGGACATTGTTGCCCCCCATGTGCTTGTTGGCCTCTAAGTGCAGGGGCCGATGGTGTCAGGCAGCAGCTGCCCCTGCCCTGCCTCACCTTGCCTCACCTCACCCCACAGGATGAGCCTCTGCCCACCGCCCCACCTGCCAGAGACCCCCTGGATCTCCCCCAACCCTGCCCAATCCTCACAGGCGTCCCTCCCTACCAGCAACATCAAGGTGACCACGCCTACCTTGGCCACACACCCCAGTCTGCCATGACCACCACAGCCATGCCCACCCAGTGGGCCACGCCCACCTGGCACCCGGCGATAAATAAGTGAGTTTGGGGTTGCAGCTTGGGCACTCGATCTCTAAAAGGTTCGCCATCACTGTTCTAGGTTTTGGCTGCTGAGCCCTCACCAGTTCTGAATCCAGACCACAGAAAGCCATTTGATTTTCCTATGAGAAGAATCACAACATGGAAATAGCTGTGGTATATGTCTCTAAAGAATATTATCATTTCCCTGTAGGAGAATGATATGTTAGGCTTACCATGAAAGGTTTTTATGTAGACATGGTGGACCTAACATGCTTTTTCTAGAACAGAGAACTTACCCAAGCTTCACAGTAAAAGGGAAAATGTATGGGAAACCATATCAATAATGGCTACCATTTATATATAATTTGACATCTCTCCTCTGTTCTTACCTTTCTCAAGCATTTGTTCTTTGATCCTTCTTCTTAGATCATCTTTCCGAAAGCAGCTATCTCTTCTTATAGGAAAAATGTCAAAACTTTTCTAATAATGATTTTAGAACTTAGTGGACAAAGATATCCATTATACAATATCCTGGGTCCTCTGTGGAAAAAGAAACTTCATAATATGTCTGGGCTCTGTTTAATTGGAAATATTCAGAAATTTGTTTGACTAATGAATTGTCACCCATCCATTATCTTGCAGATGGCTGTGGTTTTACAAAATATTTTGTCTGATTCAGATTTAAAAGAGGCCTTTTAATTTTAATGTGAAAATTACAGAGATAACATAGGAAGAAAATTAGGGACATTTGATACAGTTAATAAAACAGAGTTAATGAATACTGGATATTTTTCTGTTGAACAGGATAGGGAATGTTATATTCATTGTATAAAACTGACTTCATTATATACTAAAGAAAATTCTTTAAAAATCATAGTTAGCAGCTATCACTATTTCTTCATACTGATTTCTTCTTATTTTATTTTTACAGCAGGTTAAAACTGCAGTCAAGTATACACTAGGATTCCTTCTGGTTTGTACAGTTCTTCTAATTATCGGGTAAGCACTATGCATATATATATATACACACACACATACACACACATATACACACACATATACACACACACATACATACATACATGTACGTTACAATAGTATGGTTTATTTAATTAAGTTCATGTAAGCATCAGAAAATATACATTTTTTAGTTCTATCTTATTTAAGACTACAAAGGAACTGCAAACAGAGTAAAAATTGGTATGTTCTCAGTCCTGATGTTTTTGATGGTTGATGGATTCTTACCTCTCATTTTGAAAGTGGAAATAAATACTGTAAAAAGTTGGAAATAAATACAATTTCAGAGGAAATTTGGAGTTGTTTGTGTTATGATGGCGTAGTACAGTTGAGTTTTTAAAACTGTTCTGTGATTGAGGAAGAAAAGTACTATGTCCTTGAAATGGAACTGAAGGAATACCTTGGAATTCTTCAAAAACTTTCCTGCTTCCACATTTTTTTCATGAGTTTTTGAAATATACTGAGATTAACTCCTTGAATATAGCTGACACTGTTGTTATCCATTGTTGTCTTAGGTGTTTATTCAGTTTTCACTCAGCTGTTCTATTGGGCTTAGACCCGGTCCTAAGAGTTGAGAACCTCTTCAAAGTAGAGTAAAGTGTGGCTTGATATATAAAGCAAATTAATTAGAATTGGGTATTTATGCTAGTGATTTTTTTTTTCAGTAACATAAAGTGATCATTAGATTTTAAAATTTGCCCTGGCAAACTATTTAGGAATTACGAGTAGGTAACATTCTTGATTAGAATGTAAAATAGGACAGTTTATCTCTTGTACAGCCTAACATTATGCATATAATTTTTGTCCTAATAATAAATCATGTATGAGACTTGAAAAATTATTGTATGAAGCTGCAGCCTTTTGCCCAAATTAATTAAATACAGTGCATGCCCCACACAAATGTCACTGTCTCCAATCTCTTCGCTAATATGTAGCTTGAATTTGATGAATATTTATTGCTAGCTTGATCTCTACAGTCACTCATTATTTGACTTTTTCACTGAGAAAGTTGATATTTAGATAATAAAAAATCAAAGGTAATACATTTTTGCTTGATAAATGTAATGCTTTTTATATTTGAGTTGTATGAGAAACTAATAATTTTAATTAAAATAGTGTACTACAATAGTTTCATGAAAAGGGTGAGAGATCAACATTTCTTTCTGCCATTAAAAATTAGCTTTTAGAAATTCAAGGATTGAAGGTTTGAAATTGTTCTATTATTTTTTAAGATTTAGAAAGGTTACATATGAGCTGCATTGTATTAGAATATTGACAATGATCATAAAACAGTGTCTGCATATTCTTGTTAAGATTATTGTCAAGTGCCTAGGAAATCAAGAGATTCAGGCGGTTCAAATGAATATAAAGATTTATTGCAAGCTTATGCTCTCTACAACAATCTGGCTAACTGACCATTAAGAGAAATGAGCAGGAATTAAGAGAGGCATTCAAGGTGGACTGGATTAAGATCTCTTGCGGGTGCGAAAGGACTTGTGACTGGTGACGCGTTTGACCGCTCCCTTGAGCTCAGCCTGGTCATTTCCTACAATTATACATTGAACAACATTTCTTCTAAATTAAACTTTTTATTTAAATTCCCTCAGAATGGAATGTTGCAGAAATCTATTTTTGTCTTCCATTTGTAACCTTTCTTTCTCAACAGTACTCCTGCCTCCTTTCTCCTAAATCACTTGAAGTTGCATTTAGTTGCACAATCTCTTTTAAATAACAGTATCAGGAATTTTATTTCTAGATGGAAATTCACTATTTTCTCCAGCATGATTGGATGGAGAATCCACGAGTGGGTTGTCTTATTTGAGCAGGAAGAGTAAGACAACCCACTTGTGGATTCTCCATCATCATGCTGAGAAAAGGCATTCAGGTAAGACAACGCCCCTTTACAGACCTAATTTACTAATTTAAAATAAAATGTGATCTTAAAAGAAATGAGCATGGATAAATGGTTTATTTCATTTTCTTAAAGTGTTTGTTACTTCTCAGAATGGCTTACTTCTCCTTAAGCCTGCACACACATTGCTACTTAATCATTGGTATAACATTGTCAGTATTACTGCATATTCTCAAGAAACCCTATGTCGTTGTGTTGAACAGATTGTCCTTTTGCTGTAAAAAAATTAACAGTCCAATACTATTGAGACTTTGTTTTTATCATAATGTGGTAAATTAAAGCTCCTAGTTTATTATAAGCTGTGTGGTTTTTGAAGATACAAATATTTCAACAGAATGACTGCTAAAATACTTCTTTTCAATGTGGTACAAATGCATACCTATTTCATTGACATAAATTGTCTGCATTATAATGTAGCACATCACTTTTTGTATTCTAATTTTTAAAAGATAGTTGCCTCCAGAAATTTGGGGCAGGAGGTTAAAGCCAATTTCTAGTCAACAATTCCAAGATATACTATAATAAAAGTAGCAATAAAATGTCTTATATTATTTGCTAAGATTTATTTAATCTCAGTACTACTCCAGGTTTATTTTTCATTCTTACTGGAGAAAGCTCTTGTGTGTAGAAACAGATAGCATCAAAATAAAAAGAAAATAAAAGTAGATAGAAGATATTTATTAATTTAAATATTTTTAACTAACCTGGATATAATAAAAAAATTATTAAAAACAACAATAAATGGGAAAATATAATTGTACAATAGTGCATGAAACATAAAGAACAGGGTAAATATCAGTTTTTTGTCTGAGCACCAAATAAAGTCAACAACGAGGAGAGGGCATCCAGCACTAGCCTACCACTGAAAATGGGATAGATTGATAAGCTCCCAAGTAAGTGCATGCAAAGAAAGACGATTTTTTAAATATCGAGAGCTCAAGCTCTGATCACTAATATCTGGTACTCGAAATGGAAGCGTGTTGGAAGCCAGTACATTTTTGTAAAAAGTGATGTTAATTGTGCAAGATCACTAATTTTGAAATAAATGTTTTTGCCATCTGAATTGACAAGACACAATATTTATATTTAAGCTTTCTCTATTCTTCATTACACTTTTATAGCAAATGCTGAATCTCCAAGATACAAAACAATTAAAATACCTTTTAAATAGCCAGACTAAATTGAAAGGTACTTTCACAGAAACCAAGGAGTTAGTTGCCCAGTTGGGATGATTTTCTTTCTTTTGGAGCAAGAGCCATTGTGTTATCTTGCAACTTCTGTTTTCATCTTCACACCTGCGCACCTCTATGGTTCTTCCCCAATAACCCATTTGATTCTTCTTGTGAGACTGATTAATCATGAATTGATGGTTAGAATGGTGTAGAACAGCAAAATTAAAATCTCTTATTTCCTGTTGATCCTTTATCAACATTAGGGTTACTAAAAAGTATGGAGAAGTAACATTCTTACGTGACCCTTGGAATTTTCTGTTGAAACAAATGCAGTAGACATTAATAAAATTTGAATGAAGACATATTTAGAGTTATTTTAGAAGCAAATAGTTGTGAGTTCATTTCTCTTTTGCATACTTTTGAATTTAGTATGTGTTCATATTAGGCATGCTGTACCAAAATAAAGTGCTTACACATTCTGTATCTGGCTGGTTGTCTCAGCAAATGACAGTGCCTGGTAGATCTTATCTAGGTTCATAAGCTAAGGAAGGTCAGGCTTGATGAGTATTTAAAAGGGAAGAGCCCAGACATGAAGATTTATAGGATAGAGAGTTGAAAAGCATTCCAGAAGGTGGCAGTGGTAAGCCATTTCTGTGTTATTGCTAAGAAAACTACATTAGCCGGCCCACCAAATCTGTAGGAGTTAAGCTTCACCTGGAACAGTTAATTTGCCTGCTTTCTTTTCTTGCTTTCTTTACTTTCTTTGAATTTTTGATGTGTCACAAAAATCAAAATGACTCTTCCCAAGCTAGAGATATTGCATTAATTTTTTAAAAATATGTAAAATTAGACATAGAGATCCTGAAAATAAATAGCTCCATTTATATGGAGCAAAGAAGTTAGCTATTGTTTTTATAGTTATTTTAAGTGCAGTTGCTACATTATGCCAGTATTATTAGTACAGTGATACAGGTTGATTTTATATATTTCATTTATTCTTATACAGAGCTTTTGTTCCACTGGATATTCCTGCCAAGAAAAATTCAACAGAGTGGGAGAAAATAAAACTTTTGTTTGAAGAACTTGGAAGTAGCCGTAAGATTTTTTTTTCTTGTAAATCAGTTGGATAATTTTATATTTTCTTACTCTAAATTCCATTGGATTGGGGCAACTTGAATTTCAATATGTGTGAATTAATAAACTGCTAATCATGAGGGAATAATCTGGGTAGTATAGCAGGGGTCCCCAACCCCCAGTCCGTGGACCAGTACTGGGCCGTGGCATGCCAGCAACTGGGCTACACAAACAAGAAAGCCCCATCCGCGAGATGTAGGCAGTACACAAAACCACACACCCTCTGCTCCATGGAAAAACCTCTCTCCACAGAACCGGTCTCTGGTGCCCAAAAGGTTGGGGATCTCTGTAGTATAGAACTATTACGTTAGGTTTAGTTTCAGTATTGAAGACCTCGATACCATTTACTATTTACTATATGCAGAGAAATTCTGTTTATGGTAGTTGATTCTGAGTCTTTTGAGGAACTAATATAAATAACAGCTGGAGAGCTCTAAAGTTTTGTTTTAGCTAATTTAATGATGCCAGTATTTAGACCCAGTTTTATTCATTACTGAATGTATAATATTGTAACAGAGAGAGCTGTTGATCTGTGGTAAAATACCTCATGGAGTAGTGGCTCTGCCCTGCTAGAATTATTAAGGAGAAGCTGGACAGTTCCTGGGATATTTAGGGACATCATGCAATGATCATGGGGATGGATTAATTAATATCTTTGATAACCTCAGATTATATGGTTTATTTAAAGTACCCTATTTTTTTTGAGGTTTTAGTAGCATACTCCCAGTAAAGAAACAATAGATATATTTGAATGATAAAACTTAGAAATCTTATTGCAAAAAGTACAAACACTCCAGAATTAACAGAACTGTTGAATGCAGGCCAACAATCATAGGAGCTTAAGCCTAAAGTATTGTAAGTGTATGGTGTTGACATCATTACTTCTTAAGTAACAGAATAACAGAGGACTAGTGACCCTCCCAGTTTTGTAATATTCTAACTCTCATCAGCACTACCTAGCATAGCTGCAGATCAAGGGTGATGGGCATTGCAAAGTCTGAATGGTCACCAGTCCCCCATTGCTTGAATTAAGTGTTTAAATCAATGCCAACATCAATTTTTAACACAATGAGTGGGGGTGGGAAGTAACCAATGAGATATGACATTGTTTTCTGCCTTTAACAATGTTTACACTACCAGTTTTTGATACCTTATTGTTCCCTGTGATATTGGGTTGGATTTAGTTCATTCACTTTGCTTGTATACATTTTAGGGAAACAACACTACTTTTTTCTCTGCAGATGGTTTAGCTGCCCTCTCCTTCTCCATAAGTTCTTTGACCCTTATTGGAATGGTGGCAGCTATTATCTATACGGTGAGCAACTTAATTTTGGTTTTAACTCCATTTAAGGCTGGCCTCATTTTTCAACATTTTGAACTCTGCCCCTTGTTAATTCAGGGTCAAATCCAGTGTTGTTGAGATTAAGATGTAAAACGTGATTTAAGCTGCAAAGCTATAAGGCTTCGCTAAACTTACTTTGCAAGTTCTCAGCTTCAGGTTAACAAATAAAGTGAGGTTTAATGGGATGATGTAATTTATTCTTTAAAACAAGAAGAGCTAGAATACGAATGATGAATTTTTAGCCCTTTGGATGTTCTTGGACTATTGTTTGCATAATATACTTTTGCATAACACAGTGTGTATTTTAGGAATCAAAGACAACATTGAAGAGCCATGGATTTCCTACTGATTCTTGACATTTGTGTGTGTGTGTGTGTGTGTGTGTGTGTGTGTGTGTGTGTGTCTGTATGTATGCATGTTTCACCTTTATTATTCTTATAACTAACTCAAGGCAATGAACATACCTAATGTTCCATCCTTCTTCTGTTTTTCCCCAACAACAATCCAGTGAGGTGTGTTGTGCTGAGACAGAGTGACCCTGGCCCAAAGTCACCCAGCCAGTTTTCATGCCAAAGGAAGGATTAGAACTCATGGTCACCAAGTTTAACCACTAAACCAAACTCTGTCTCATGGCTCCAATATTTGTTTAACAAAGCTAAATATTTCTTTTTCTTTTAAAACTCTGCACAGAACAGAAATAACAATGTCAGCTTTTACTATATAAGCAGAAGCTGTGCAACAAAGTTTTCTTATCTACTATCAGGAGGCCAGATTTATTTAATCTTTTAATAAGCCCTTAATCTGCACAACAGATTTTAAGGGTGTCAGGAAGGCTCCAGTGGGGTGAGAAAAGCAGTTATGCCATCAGGAAGATTATGCTCATTGTGCAAAGGACAATATAAATTAGGAACAGGGAATTCACACCACTGATGCATTAATGAACCAAATTTTAATGTGAAAGTAGTTTGCAATGTTTAAATCTCAAACAGTTGCTTTTAAAATTTTAGATAGTAAGGTAGTCTTTGACTTACGAATAATAATTAGTAATAATTCAAATTAACAACAGCTTCTAAAAAATTCAGTTATGACCTGAATTCAAACTTAAAACTGTTGCCACTTCCACGGTCACATGATTGCAGTTGGGCACTTAGCAACTGGCTTGTATTTACAAGCAGTTATAGTGTCCCTCAGTTACATTATCACAATTTGTGATGGCTTTTGCTGGTTTCCAGCAAAAAAATGCCATTGGTTAAGGTGGATTTGTCCTTTTGACTAATGCAAAAATGGTCATAAAATCAGATCTGGTTATGTGAGGACTCACAACCACACTGACTTATGACAGAATTTGGCCCCAGCTGTGGTCATAGGATTAGGACTGCCTGTACGGATTTCTCTAAAGGTATTTCATAAATCTAGTTAATAGCTGTTTTGAAATGATTATATATTGCATGTCCTCAAAATTTAGTACCCAGGGAGAGAAGGATATTAAAATGAATAGTGTAATTGTGATGTATTATCCTGACTCCACAGTACAATCAGCAAATATTTGATGCCATTTCTAAGTCACTGTATTAAAGTGGAGGATACGGAGTTGGATTACTGCTCCTGTATATCTCAGTATTCTTAGCATTGAACTTCTCAGCATGTTGGCTAAAATATTTTCATAGTTTAAAAGCTCTTGCCTTAAGTCCTCATTTAGTGACCTACAGTTGGGACTAGCAACTTGGTTATTAAGTGAAGTGGTTGCTAAGTGACACCCCAGCTGTGCTTATGAGCTTAATTCAATTGTCCTTTGCTTTACAGGTCTGTAATAAATACAAGGATTGGTCATAAAGTTACTTTTTTGTCACAGTTGTAACCGCAAACAGTTGTTAAACAAGGCAGTCGCTAAAGGAGGACTTTCTATAATAGGAAATAAAAAAGATTGTGCCACTAGCGGTTCCTATTGTGTGGTGTCCCACACTGTAAATGGGTAGCATAGTTTTAGTTCCCTGGGCACCTGGAGTCCTAGTTATTTTCCTTTGGAATTTATTTGGTACGTTGCTGTTTTTAGAATCAGGAAATATATGTAATCTGCAGGAGAAGAATAAAATGAAAAGATCTATATATTTATTAAGCTAGCTAGCTAGCTGGAATAGCTCAGGCCTTGAGAATGGGAAAGTGATGAGTGAGCTGTTAAGAGTGACTTTCAGAAAAGATTATTCAGTCCTGAGAAGATGAAAGCCTAAGAAGTAAATTTCAAAGTAACCCGATCTTGATTTTGTTTGGTGCAAAGATGAGGCAGACAGAACCTCTGAGAGGCTCTCAAGATTCTATCTTGCTATAATAAACAGCAGTCTGAGAAGCCCTGCTGTCCCTCTTTCTTGATCTTGCTTGCCTCAAAGAATTGACAGCATACATGTACAAATTAACAGCATGGATGCATGGATATTGTTAAAAGATCAACCATAGAAAGGTACAAATAGAAAGAAAGAAAAAGATTTTCAATGAATACGAAGGGGCAAAACATTCCTACAAAAACATCTTACTTGACTTGTCTCTTGTACCTACAACAACATCTACAAGACTATGGGAAGACCTTCCGGTCCAGCGGAGCATACTGATTAGGAAAGATGTTTGGCCAAAAAAAAAAAGACTAAAGTTAGAATTAAGAAATTAGATAATCGGATTTATCAGATGGAATATCTAAAGATTAAACACCTGTTTGAATATGGTTAAAGAAATAGAAAAAAAATCTGGATATAAATGAATTTTAGTTTAAGAGGGATGGGCCCCCTCAAGTAACATAGGTTTTTTTATGATATGAGAAATATAAAAACGTTGGGATGGTTTATATGAGGGAAATGTTTTAGATACTTAAGTGTAATTGATTTTGAGAAAATTTCAGTTGATAAGAATGTTTTGAATAGATTTAAAAGATTAGATTATTGGATTTATTAGATCAGTGGTTCTCAACTTTTTTAATGCCGCGACCCCCAACCGGTCGTAAGTCGAGGACTACTCAACCGATTGTAATTCGAGGACTACTCAACTGGTGCAGCACCGTTTGCAGAATGGGACTTTTGGCGGGCTCAGCAGGGCAGAGACAGCCTGGACAATTCCTATTGGCTTTTGAAAGCCAATAGAATTAGACTCTGTTCAAGAGAGTCTATTCTATTGGCTTTCAAAAGCAAATAGAATAAAAGGGATAGCTTTTATAGCTAAGGAAAAAGGGAAAAAAATGGCAGACTGCGTTGTTTGGCGACCCCCGTGAAATGGTCGTTCGACCCCAAATGGGGTCCCGACCCACAGGTTGAGAACCACTGTATTAGATGGAATAATTAAAGACTGAATGTTTGTTTCAATATGGTTAAAAACAATAGAAAAATTTGGATATAAATGTATTCTAGCTTGAGAGAGACATGTTTCTCAAGTAATATAGTATTTCCTTTTTCTCTTCTCTTTTTTATTTTTGTTTTAAGATATGAGAAATGTAAAATTGTTGGGATGACTTATATGAGAAAAAAGATTTAAATACTTAACTGTAATTAACTCTAAGAAAATCTTAACTGGTAAGAATGTTTTGAACTGTAGGGAAAACAGATCTAAATAAGAACTTTGAAAACAGGATCTATGACAAGGTAATTAAGATGATCAATTAGAAAAGAAACTTTATATTGATGTGGTTGTTACTTGTAGAAATACTAGAAAAATGTTTATATTCAATTGTTATCTATCAAAATACTAAGAAATGTACTAATTTAAGGTTGATAAAAGAAGAGAAAATCAAGGAAAGCTACTATGTGGATTATGGAATTATAGAAATTAATTGTTATTAAATATAAACCCAGACAACACGCCCTTTACCAAATATTAAGGTGATTATGTTAAAAAATTAACAAAATATATTTTTTAAAAAAGAAAGGTACAGATAGTCCTCACTTGATGATTTGTCTCTTAACCACTGTTTGAAGTTATGATGGGCTTAAAAAAAGCTACTTATGATCCATTTTCAAAGTTCCATCTGCTGCACTCCCATCCCATGGTCAAGTGATTACATTTTAGGTGCTTGGCAACTGGATCACATTTTGCAATGTCCCACAGTCATGTGACTATGATTTGCTACCTTTTTTTCATTTTTGTTATTTGTCATTTTCTGGCAAAAAAACACACACTGGATATGTTAGATTTGTTTACTGAGCATCTGATTCACTTAATAACATTAGTGACTCAGAAAAAAGGAATTAAGTCTGGTCACATAGTGATCTGCTTAACAACCGGAATTACGTATGTCCAAAATTCCTGGCTCAGTTATGGTCATAAGTCAAGGACTATTTGTAGAATAAGAATGATATATAAGAAAAGCAAAAAAGAGAGATGCTTGTAATCACTCTATGCCAAAGGCCTCCAAAATAAAATAGTTTGAGGGCTTTTCTAAATTAGGTGAGAGCTAATTGCATCTGCAGGAGTATTCCATAAGATCTCCACTTCAAACTTTCACTTCCCATTGGAAAGGATGATTTCCATAGCTTCTAAAGTCTGATTGGCAATAATACTGAATACCATAGAAACAAAGCCTTATTATTGTTATTATTATTTAAATTTATACGTTGCCCAACTCCCAACAACTTTGGGCAATTTACAGATTATTTAAACAATAAATTTTTCCCATTCTTCATAAAAGTTGCTATCATTCTATTTCAGGACTTGAAAATTACTAAGATTTTAGTTTTATGGATTATCTTTATTGATAATATAACTGTTTATCCATGTAGAAACTTATTTCTCTTTCTATTAAGTACTAAAAATATTTGAGATGTATAACTTTAAGCAAAACCCGTCAGTGCATTTACAAAAAACTGACACAGTTTCTCCAAATTAAACGTAACTTGAGTTTTATTTTATGAAGAGCTCTGGTGGTACAGTGGTTAGAATGCAGTACTGCAGCTTAACTCACTGCTCATTCCAGGAGCTCAGTTCTGATTGGCTCAAAG